AGTTTTTACTATCCCAGAAAAGCAAAAGTTGAAAATCATTACTATCCTCACTCTCTAGAACACCTCTTTCTAATTCAATCAAAATCATAAACAAATTCATAAATTTTCTTTTTCAAATAAAAAAAAAACAAATTGTTTACGTGTGCCGTTTATTTTTTCATTTTTGTACTTTAGCGTCAATAATTTTTTATGGTAGAATCGTCAAATTTTTTGTGGTAGTTTTTTAAAATGTATTGTATTTGTCATAAATCGGCCCGCGACTATTGTTGACAGTTAAAGACTGCTACAACTATCTAAAATTTTCTTTAGTTATAAGGGTTTTGGATTTTATGTGTTTTTAACAAACCGCAAATTAGACTAAAATGTTTGATAAATAAAGAAGTATTTTACTCGAGGTCTTACAATTTTTTTAATTAAAATTGTTGCAGATCAATTTCGTTACGTAGTTTTGATGTTTTATGGGGCATATAAACAGCTTTAAAAAACTTTTTTGGTATTTTAATTAGTTATGTTGACTCATTTGGTATAATTTCTAAATGTTTAGTTCAATGATTGCAGATAGAAATGGTGGATGTGCCATGTTGAAAATGGTTTTTAAAATAAAAAACTAATTAAAATAATTTGTTTTTTTTATACTTACAAACTATTTTAAATTCAAGCTTGATAGAACGTAAAAAAATAAAAAAGCATGTCTGGTACTGGCGGATAATCTTTACAAAAAGTTCTAATTATAAGTTGTGATAAATTGCCAGACGGGAGTTGCAATATACCGTGCGATCAAATAAAAAATAAATTAGAGTAGGCGTCGATTGAATTCTACAGTTGGCAACACATTGGCTGGAAATCTGAGCTAGAAATTTTCCACACAAACTCAAAGTGCAAATGACCATCCACCGTTTCCCTCTTGTACAGCAATAAAAAATGTCTGCTCTAAAGTGAACATTATTTCACTCAAAAGGAATAAAACGCAAACTAGTCAAAGTTTCCGCTGACATTTGATGTCAAAAATCAGGATTGCCATCTGAAGGACTTTAATCACCGCCTACTCTAATTTATTATTTTTTTGATCGCACGGTATTTCAGAATTAAAGCAAATTATGCTTAAACGTAGTTAAACATGTAACTTTAAATTATTTAATTACTTTCAACAGTACTTAGTGAAAAACATTTATTTAAATTTTTGTGACAAAAAATTGGTATATTTACATAATGTACTGGAAACGCAATTACTTTTTATCTGCCTCGACGATTCGGTTTTTTAGCAATCAGATTTAAACTGAACAATTTTATAAATTTTTGATTTTTACATTTTGACAATTTATAAAAGACAGTAAAATGGTTTGGAAGATATAATTATAAATTGAGAGAAAGTAATGATGACAGTGGACAGTGATTTTGGAATGAATTTTGAAGATTTAGATTTTTTTTCGATTTTTTTAAATTTTGTTAATTATTGTACAGTTACGGAATTAAAATTTCGAGAAGTATTTTTCTGTTACTTCAAAAAGTTCACTGTAAACTACCTTTTACTGTCATCATGACATTAATGACTGACATTTGACAATCAAACTTTTCAGCCAGTGACGCTATTTTTTAAGTCAAAATGACTAAACATGACAAGAGTAAAAAATGAGGATATTAATGGTAAAGGTTGTTTTAGAGTTTACATTATGAAAATGACAATACCGTCCGAAATTTTAATTCTGCAACTGTACATATTAAAGCAGATTTCAACTGTGATTGGTTATTTTATGTTGATAGGGCAGATCAAATGTTATGTGAGTGACAAAATTATGAGATAATCTCATTGAAACAGAAAATAAAATAAAAATGTTCGAACAAGTCAATTTTCTTTTTAAAAATATGCAATTTTACACTTTTTGGTTTTTAAGAAGTGACGTCATTGGAGCCAATTTGATAAATCTTTTAATTGTCGAAATAAAAACACTAAAATATTGAATATTACATAAGATTTTCGAAAAAAAATCATTTAAAAAGTGAAATAATATCAACACAAAACAAACATACAATTTTAAACAAAGTTGAGAATTTTGTATTTTTTAAAAAGAAAATTGACCTGTCCGAGCATTTTTGTCCAAATAAAATAATTTCAGTTTTAATAAATAAAATTATTCCATAATTTTGCAATTTTGCTGTTCTCTGTATATTATTTACTTCATTTGCATTTATTTTATGCTCATTTGTTATTTTATTTGTTGTAATTATTCAAATTTAATTATTAGTTGCTACTACATATAACAAATGGATGTTACAATTTGTCATTATTATTTATAATATAAAAATTTAATTTATAATATATCTACAAAAATTGCACTCGTACATTATTTTTCCTCATGTTTATTTTATTTTTTTATAAAACGTAAACTTTACAAAAATGAAAAACAAGTAAGGGGTAATTTAAACATACCTATACTACCTAGGAGTACATAAAACAGTCTTATTACCCTTCTATACATAGTTTTCTCTAAATTTACAAAAAAAAATACGGACACAAATACTTACTTCTTGTCCTGTGTATTTAAAAATGTCTATACTCTACCAAAAAAATTCATTCAATATTCGTTGATTACTTTTCTCTGACTTATTTAAAAAATCTCAAATAGAAAAAAAATTGTGGCAGCATTTGCGTGAGAATACACTTATTTACATAAGTCCTACTACTACAACAATGGTTACAACAAATATTTAAATGCCTTGTACAGGGTGCTGCATTTTGGATGTCCGAATAGGGAATCTCCGAAACTAAGAGGTTTAGCCAAAAACGAGTAAGTCATTCTGGGGCTCATTTTTTGAGAAAATAATATTACTTCAAACCGCATCTCGCTATCGTCTTTTGTTTTCGACTTATAGACAAAAATTGACATTTTAGCGAAATCTAAAAAAATCATATCTTCGTTATTATAGAAGATACGGATTTGAAATAAAGACACTTTTTTACGTAGAATTTAATAATGTAGTTAACAATTTTTTTCAGTTGTTTGTTTAGCCGTGATAAAATAAACTTGTATTTTTTTAAATGGTAATCAGAGATGGCTGTCATTTTTAAAAAGCTTGTTTTTTTCTTATCTAAAAAATATATATTTGTAACAAATTATTATAATACATTTTTAGCAAAAAAATATCTTTGATTTTTGTTCGCAGTGGGCCATGAAAAAATGTTGCATCTTCAACTAAAAGGATTTAAACTATATTATATTCAACCAGTGTCACTAATGAAAGAGTTTTCTAAGTATTAAGTGATGAAAAAGATGCAAAATAAATCGTAAATTAACTTATTGGCGACTAATAACATTTCTTTGTTTTTAAACAAGCTAACATTACCATTGCAACTTCTAGTGATACATAGAGTGTTGTAAAAAAAGCCACTTTAATTCTTCAAGAAAATATATTTTATATGACACAAAAATGACGATATGACTATTCAAATACCCAAATTCCGTCTATGTGAAACGTTATGCTACCTCCATTAGATCATCAAAAAAATGTTTTTTCTAATTGTGTTGACTGTTGACACATTTGTTTTTTCTATGTTTGGATTTTTTAAAAATATGTAATAATTTTGTTCTGAGGCGCTCTCATATTTGTTCAATGCTTCTACCGTATCGTATTTTTTAAATTTTTATAATTTTATCTATTTTTTCATCTATTTTACAGTTCACAAAACTCTTACTGATTATTATTTACACATTTGGAGTGAAATAGTTTTTCCATGGCCAACTATTATTAGTATCACACAAAATATGAATTTCACTTTTTAAGTATAGTTATAAAAAATATTTTGTTACAAACATATATTTTTAAGATCAGAAAAAAATAAGCTTTTCAAAATTGCCATAGCCGCCTATGATTTCCATTTAAAAAAATACAAGTTTATCTTATTACGGCTAAACTAATAACTGAAAAAAATTGTTAACTACATTATTAAATTCCTCGTAAAAAAGTGCCTATATAATGTCTTTTTTTCAAATCCGTATCTTCTATAATAACGAAGATATAATTTTTTTTAGATTTCGCCAAAATGTCAATTTTTGTCTGTAAGTCGAAAACAAAAGACGGTCGCGGGATGTGGTTTTAACCAATATTATTTTCTCAAAAAATGAACCCCAGAATGTATTACTCGTTTTTGGCTAAACCTCTTAGTTTCGGAGATTCCCTATTCGGACATCCAAAATGCAGCACCCTGTACACTACCACCGCAACAGTGGACCAAATTTATTCTATTATTCTCAAACCCTTGTTTGTGAAACACTAACAGTTTGCAAGTTTGTGTAAAAAAACGATTTTTGACTTTGCATTTCCAGTGCTGCGTCCCCGAATCCACTGCTTTACGCGAATTCGTCTCTCACCCCCCTGTCGGTTCCGTCAGACTCCACTGCACCATGATACGTCACGACGACGACAACAATCTATCTTCAGGGACTTGCTACACTCTATATTTGGAATATTTGGGAGGTTTAGTACCACTACTCAAAGGCAAAAGAACCAGTAAAATCCGCCCGGAATTCGTTATTTTCGATCCCCAAGTCGAAGGTACCCAACCCCCATCTCCCATCATTCCCTGCATTCTAGGTGATTTCTTCCAGATATCCATTTGCAATGGTCCCCCCCGGAATCGAAAAGTTCCGGGTCTTCAAGCCACTCGACCAGCGTTGGGGGTCTCTTAACCGACTCTTCGGACAGCGACCGTGAAGAAGGCTGCACCAGCTCCCCCCGTATGCAAAGACGAAGAAAACGAAGAAATAAATCTCACACTCGTGTCCCCACCGAACGACAGTCGGGCCAAAGTTCCGGGGACGCCGAACCGGAGGATTTAGCCTATGTGGACACGCTTCCGGAGCACGTGCGTCTAGTGGAGGTCACGTCGAATATCTGGGGTACCAAGTTCAAGATTCACGGGTTGGCAACATTGGTTCCTGCGAATTTGGGTCAAGTGACTTATAAGACATCTTTGTTGCATTTGCAACCGCGACAGATGACGCTAGTGATGACCGAACTTCGCGATGATTTTCCGGTGATTCCCGATCCGAATTTCAACCCGAATTTGTTTTCCGAAGACGAGGAGGAGTTGCAAATTGACGGGAAGAAGATTCCGAGAGGGGTTATTGATAATAGCCCTCCGATAGCCCCCATGTCGCCACGTGGCAACCGTTTGGCTAATTTGCCCTCATTGGCGAAAGCCGAATCCTACGAAGATGAGTTCCATGAGTTGCATGATATCAGTTTTTGTGATACTATCCGTCCACAGACGTCAACTAATCGTCCGAGTAATAGCACCCAAAGTACCAGTTTCGTGGGGCAATTTAACCGAAATGGTACCGGTAATGGTACCCAAAGACATGCTATTTCACCCCTTTGTTGCGAAGGATCAGTACCAGCGCTCCAATCACCGAAAAACGCAGTAGCCCCCAGTGATATTATTTTCGACAGACCCCCAGCCCAGACACTAATCACTTATTCAAATAGTGACTACGGTAACAATGTCCAAAAAGTCAAAAACAATTTCATCGAGCATCACCAGAAGGCTGTCATCGTAAAGAATGAGAAAAAGAAAGACTTGAGTTTTATAGATGAGGAGGCCCTCCCGGGGCCCTCCACCTCAATCCGCCCCTCCAACACTCTATGTTTGGCCGACTCGATGGTTCGTAGTTGCAGTGTGGGCTATTTAGACATGGTGGACGCTCAATTAGTTCCTAGCGACGTTGCCCTTTTAATGCTGCGTAAAGACGCACCAAAAAGACTAGTTTTGGTCAATCGCAAACAAAAAACGAAACGTCAAAGTCGCCAACATCGTGAAAACCGAAATAACAAATCCCCCAAGTTGAAAAATTGTGGCAAATCGAAAAGTCTCGATTCGAGTGATCTGTTCCCCAACACCGAACCTGTCATCCCATCCAAAGCCAATTTTATTGAAGAAGTTATACCGGAAGTTAGTAACAAGTCGAGTAGTTCGTCACCGGATACTGTCGATGAGAATTCGAATAAGAAAGAGACGAAATTGGGCTTTTTTGCGTCGAGGTCACCGTTGATGAGGAGGAAAAAGACAGAGGAGAAGACAAGAGGTCGGCCGAAACAGAAAACTGTAAATCAACAGATTGATAATCAGAGGAATGGAATGCCGTTGCATACGCAAGCTTTGGCCAATTTGGAAAAGTTGATTACGAGGTTGAGGGAAGATGATAAGGCGACGCCACCGCCGTCGCCGAGGTTACCGAGGAGCTCGCCGGCGTCGCCAGCCCCAAGCAAAAAAGGTAAGTGGCATTTTTGTCCAAATAAATAAATTGAAATTGAAACAATTACTTATTACTTATTAAATTTCAAAAAATCTTACGAAAGCTATTAAAAGTATATTTTTTCGAAAAAAATACGTTTCCTAGATGTATACTCGTTTTCATATGCGCATCGAAGTAGTCGTTGAAAGGGATCATTTTAAGGTGGCAACCATGTAAAAATTCAAACAATCCTAACGTCAATCTTTTCTAAAAATATTTTTTTTAAATAAATGTGTACCCCACGTAGCAAAAAATTAAAAATAATAATTCACATTAGAGTATTAGCAGAACAAGAATAACAAGTAGCAATTTTAATTAAAATTGAGAGGTTTTAATTGTAAAGAGAGCGAAAATGAGAGAAATAAATTAAAGGGAAATATACACAAGCTTAGGCTCTGTTATTACTTATTTTCTTTTTTACGTATTGTAACCGGTTTTTGACCAGTTAAATTTGTTCCAAAACTTTTTTCGTGAGTATATAGGATGCGCCAGAACTCGCGCCCCAGAGAAAATTTTCAAGTAACGTACGATACCACGAACATGAAAAAAATCTGTCAAAAAATTTTGACATTTCACATTTTTTTATATCTATTTAATGATACTAAATGATCTTGTATATGTTTTTTTACAATTATTTAGTAAAAGAACAAAAATTTTGCCAATAAAAGCCACAAATAACATTGAACAGAGTTACAATTTAGGATACAGCTTCCTTGTTTCCTCTTTTATTAATAGCCTATAGCAAAAAAACTTGGAAAATTATTTTTCCAACAGAAATAAATAGAGTGAAAATGCAAAATTTAAACTCTCAAAACAAAATTTTTTAGATAAATTTTTTTTAACACTTTTTCCATGTTCCTGCTATCTTACCTTATATGGCGAGTTCTGGCCCAGCCCTGTATAAACACATTAATAAATTGTGTTAAAAATTAAAAGGTCCAACAGTTTTTTTAATAACAGTGGAAAAAATTATAATTTAAAAATCTATATTAACTTTTTAAATATACTTTGGTTGGCGTTAGAACCACAAAAATTGAATAAACTCACAAAAACCAAGTCAGGTTTTTTACTTTAGTTCAGATTTTTTATTAGAAAAGCAATTCTTGCCTAAGTTTTTTGTAAATTATTTGATTACATGTTAGTTGTTATATTTAATTTAGGTTCTATTAATTCAATTTGCTTTGAACTGTTTTAACATGGATTTTTTATTTAAATATTTAATTATTAAATAAATTAAAACAATTTTAATACGTCGGGTTTTACAGTTTTTTAAGAAGAAATTTAAATTACAACAATTACAAATTTTATTGTAATGTTGAACAATTTTTATTATTTGACACTGTTTTTTACTTACTTACTGCACTGTTTTTATAATCTTATTATTGGATCAACAAAATAATTTTTCTAATTTTTCGTGTTCAAGTTCTAAAAACATATTCATATACTGTCTAAAGAAAACATTAAAAGATTTTGGAAAATAATTTTTTAGGTCAAATTAAAGACGATTGTAACAAAAGACGATAAAAAATTGTTTATCTACGAGTGAAAAGGTCAAGTTTACTAGTGATGGACTTTTTTCACAAAGTTCGATTTACGAAGTGTCAAGTCTCAAGTATGTTTAAAAGTTTTGTTGAATTAACAATGTATGCTGCAAATAAGTATTTCATGCACACCACCTGAAAAAAGAAAAATCGCTTCAAACACCGCTGAAAATCACCATTACCAACTTTTAGAAAGTCAATTGTACTATTATATTTCAACACCCGAATCGGTGTTGAAATGGCTCATTAAAGCATCGGTTTTGGTATCGAAATAAGCTTTCTTTCAGACGCAAAATAGAAAAATTCCTTTAGAGGTCCGGTATTAGTTTATTTGTTTGGTTTTATTAAATGGAAAAAAACAGATATTAATAACATTGATATTAAAATTAGAACACTGAATGTGTTTAGGAAACACCACCCAGAATCATCCATTGAAAAATTTTCTTTATAAAGAGAAAATGGGGGTGTGATTTTTTGAACTTAATTTACATATTTTTTTTACATAACGGACAAATTCTCTCACTTAGGAAATATTTCTTGGATCAGAGTAATAATAATATTTTGATTAAAGCTACTCTTATTTGTTTGAGTAATGAAATGATTATTGACGAATAGTAATTATAGAAAATTTGAAAGAAAAGGCTTTACATGGTAGATGTTTCAAAGAACTAAACAACAGCACTTTTGGTTAACAAAAACGAATATTTTTGCAGAAACTGCAATCCAAGATGAAATAATTAATACAGAAAATTTTAAAAATATAATTATAATCAAAAGCAGTTATAAGGATCTTTATAGATTATGTAGAGTAAAAACAGTACGGTGTATAAAAATAACACAAGAGATATATTTTGAACAAAAATTAGTTAATAAATAAATCCGAATCTGCCAAAAAAAAAAATCAAAAAACTTTTTCCAAAAGCAAAATTTTTGATAACACTAATAGATTCAGCACGAAAATAATATTCCAGATGCAATTTATGTCCACCGGTTAATTAAAAAAAGGTCTTTTACCCGTCGTCTTCTTTAGGAAGGATCTGCCAATAGGCTAAACATTAATCCTATTTCTAAAATTGAAAAACATTATTTTTTTAATTCCAAATACACACAAGCATAAAAATTTATCAAAAAAATATACGAATTACATGTTAGTGTTAGTTTCAGAAAATACAGTCGAAGTTTTTTTTTAGAATTATAAACATATTAACTAGTATTTTATACAACATGAGTAAAACGAAATGAAAAAAGAACTGGTTTTAAAAATTATTATTTCATTTTCGAAGAAACAGAAATTGTACCTTATTTAAAAAAAGATACAGATAATACAGAAGTACAATGCATGCAAATCAATGGCATATCAATAAAACACCTTCATGTGGGTAATTTATAAAAGTTATTAAATTATTAATCTTAATGAATGTCTGTCTTTTCATAAATTTTTTAGCAAATAATTTTTTCAATCATTTCAGGTAAAAGGCCTCAATCGGCCTCCCCAATTCGGAAAAACCTCCTTTCTTCGCCACTGTTGGGCCGAAGAAATAAGAAAAATCGCCACCAGGAGAGCTCCGATGACGAGGTCACAGCGTCGGGAGACGAAGTTTTCAATGGGACGAACTACCGCGATTTGGAAACGTTTCAAAAAGCACAATTAAGACAAAAAGTGAGTTTGTTTATTATTTTTGAAAAATTATTAAAACTGTTTTAGTTAAAGCGAGGCAAAATCGAGCCTAACGGAAGCAACCATTGCAACAACCATTCTATACCTCAAAGGAGAGAATTCGTAATGCACAACAAGGCGCCAATGTGGAACGAAAACAGTCAGGTGTACCAACTGGATTTCGGTGGAAGAGTGACCCAGGAATCGGCGAAAAATTTCCAAATCGAGTTTCGGGGAAAACAAGTGGGTTGGTAATTCTCGGGGGATTACAAATTTAATGAGTTTGTTTCAAGGTTATGCAGTTTGGGCGTATTGACGGAAACGCCTACACACTAGATTTCCAGTATCCATTTTCCGCTCTTCAGGCGTTCGCAGTGGCTTTAGCTAACGTTACGCAAAGACTAAAATAGGCCGAACCATATCTCACGTTTTTACAAAAAGGTGCCAATTTAGCCATGTTTTCGATCGTTAAAGCCGACCAAATACAATGAAAATTAAATTTTAACAGTACAAGCTTATAGGTAATATTCTAAGGATACTAAATAGTCTCAGAGATTTCTGCGTACCTCAATGTAAAGTCTGTTTTTTTTTCAATGGAAATGCCAAACAGTCTTAACGTTGGTACCACTAGTAATTTTAATAAAGGAAGTTGGCAGTTCCGGTTTTTTGAATTCATTTGACAACAATGTCATTAAACGTCAACACAAAAAATCCTCTAAGAAAATTTAGAGACGAAACACCAAAAAAGGAACAAATTTTTAGCAAGAAATTGACAAGAATACAAAATAAACATGAATGAGAAAGAACCTCAGAATGCAATTAAATTAGTGTCTTCTGCTTAGTTTTTGAGAAACGAGTTGAAAAAGTAACAATTTTGAAACTAAAGCTGAAGAAGAATTTATAAAATGCATCAACTTTGAGCTCATTTCAATAAATTACACAAAATTTTTTGCCAATCATCATAATACCTACTTGTATTCTTTGCTAAATAACTTTTTTCTGTATAAAACTTCTAGGGACAAAAACAAATGGTTGTGTTGTCTCCATGCTAGCAATTTTTTCACCAAAATGTTGACTTGGTAATTTCCATTTGAAGAAAAAACAGACTTTAGGTGTTTTTTGACTTTTCGTAGAAAAATCTTTTTTGGCCGTCCGATTACAGAAAAAAACAAAAATTACAACCGGTGGCTGAGGCACACTATTTTTATATTAGTCAGAACTAATATTTGACTAAAATATTCTAAATGCAMAAGTCGAAGTTTGAGAAACTTGATTTTTGATAAATTTATACAAGTTTGACAAAATCGGACACGTTTGTCTRTTTTTGTTCGGCTTGTAAAACATGCTAATGCTTTAATTTCTTGTTATCTGTTATGTGTGACATAAACAATTTTTTGTACGTACATTTCTTGAAAATTACCTCTATTCAAGTTRGTGTTGTATCCAGTTTGGACAAACAAAAATGAAACATTGTTCGTAAGATACCTATTTGTATGTGCGTATATAAATAAAAGTGCTTTTTTATGGAAACAAGAACTATTTTATCCATTCTCTCCCAAAAAACAAAAAACATTTTTAAATGGCCAACGTTTTGCACATTTTAAGTAAAAATTACTAGAATTTAAAATAGTGTTTTTCTATTTTGCGTTTTTAACACGACTCGTTTGGGTGCATTAACAGTTTAGAGTATTTTTTGTTTTTAATGTTGGTGACAACGCCGTTGGAAGTAAATATAAATACTTATCAATTTTCCGAATTCTTGTTGACAAACATGAAAAAATCGGGACAATTATTTCTACAACATTTTCAAGTGTAATTCAAAAAGCGTAAGAGATATTTCAGAAAACTTTAGTTGTAATTTAGATTAGTCTATTGTATTTCAGAAAGTATTAATTGTAATTCAGAACCGTAAACTGAATTTCAGAAACCATCAGATGTAATTCAGATTAATTAATTTAACTTCAGAAAGCGTAAATTAAAATTCAGATTAGTCAATTGTATTTCAGAAAGTGTCAGTTATAATTCAGAGTTTTCCATTTCTGATTGAGAATTCGTCAATTGTAATTCATTTAAAAATTACATTACCAAAATTTCCTTGAAAATAAAATATCTTATTTATTTCGCAAAATGGCAAGTTTATGTAATTCTTTAATTCTGAAAATAAAATAACTCGTGTTTACGTGTATAAACTTCATTTTGAGATAACAGTAAACTTACTCACCTGAATTACAATTGATATTTTCTGGATTACATGAAATTGAATTTATTTACTGTTCCGAATTACAATTATTACTTTATGAAATACAATTGACTAATCTGAATTCCAATTTAAGCTTTCTGAAAGTAAATTGACTAATCTAAATTACATGTGATGGTGAATTACACTGAAAAAGGTATGAGAAATCTCAGTTTGAGTTGAATTTTCCAAATTGGCTTCATGAATAACACTGCTAGGTGTCACCAACTGACGCAAAATTCCCTAAATTAAAAATCTATTTCTTTTCAACACGCAAAATAATAAAAATAGTATAAAACACTTGTTACACAAGACCATTCAATAAATCGCTTCTATTTTTAATATTGAAATAAGAAAATAACAAAACAAAATCTGTCAAATATATTGTACTGAATGCAGAAGTGTAAAACTGGTTGCCAGTTATAAATAACAATCAGTGTAGTTATAAATTTGTATTATTGATTAATAATGTTTTTAATTTAATTAAGTAGCAAACATGATTAACAAAAACTGCCATTTTTTGTGCAAAATAAGTTAAAACTTGTAAACATTTGAATTTCCCGCCATTGAAAGCCCCCACCCTGCGTACGTTGACATGTCAAGCATCTGACATTTTCTTACGTCGAGTGACAGTGCTTTTACAATAAATTAAATTTGAACTTGTTAAAAAACCGTTTATTGTTATTGTAAATACAAACAATGGCTTCAGGTAAGTTTTTAGAATTTTTTTCACACCTTTGCACCCTTCTAAAACCGCTCGAAGCGCAAATCCCGTGCAGACCGCGTGTACCATCGACCTTATTGTAAAATGAAATTTTCCGAATTCCAGGCAAAAAGGGGAAAAAGAATAAAGGGAAAACGCTGGCGTTGAGCGACTTCCTCCAGGAAACGCCCGGACCCGTGGCTACCATGCCCATAAGGAAATCCACGATGAATTGGGCCGACGAAGTGGAGGATAATCATGGTAGAGTGTACTTAACCTATAAGTCGTGCATGTGGAAGCGATTTTAGCGATCGATCTGTATGGCTAAAACGCACTTTGTATTCCTGTGAGGCCCCACACCGCGCGAATATAAAATTCTATAAATAATCCATTTCTAGAGTATTTCATAATAAGTGGGAACGGTATTGAGTGTTGCATTTGATTTTTTAGCCTCGAGGTTTGATCCAGATAATTGACCTTTGACTTTTTTTTAGATGTGTATGACCCACGGTCTGCCAAAGCAAGTGTTGTCCTACCCACGGCGCCGAAAGCGTCAAGGGACTTTGATGACATTATCGACAAAGTTCCACAGGACCCCCCATATATTGCATATTTGACGAATTTGCCATATGATGTCGATGAGGATGAAATTGCCGCGTTTTTCAAGAACTTGAAGGTAAGATTTAAAGAGATGTACTTACAAAAAATTGTTTATGTCACACATAACAGATAACAAGAAATTAAAGCTATTTTATTTTCAAAGGAATTTTAGTAATGTAATTTTTAAATGAAAATAACGAATTCTGAATTACAATTGACGAATTCTCAATCAGAAATGCAAACTCTGAATTATAACTAACACTTTCTGAAATACAATTGACTAATCTGAAGTTAAATTAATTAATATGAATTACATCTGATGGTTTCTGAAATTCAGTTTACGGTTCTGAATTACAATTAATACTTTCTGAAATACAATTGACTAATTTAAATTACAACTAAAGTTTTCTGAAATATCTCTTACGCTTTTTGAATTACACTTGAAAAAGGTGTAGAAATAATTGTCCCGATTTTTTCATGTTTGTCAACAAGAATTCGGAAAATTGATAAGTATTTATATTTACTTCCAACGGCGTTGTCACCAACATTAAAAACATAAAATACTCTAAACTGTTAACGCACCCAAACGAGTCGCAAAATAGAAAAACACTATTTTAAATTCTAGTAATTTTTACTTAAAATGTGCAAAACGTTGGCCATTTAAAAATGTTTTTTGTTTTTTTTTGGGAGAGAATGGATAAAATAGTTCTTGTTTCCATAAAAAAGCACTTTTATTTATATACGCACATACAAATAGGTATCTTACGAACAATGTTTCATTTTTGTTTGTCCAAACTGGATACAACACYAACTTGAATAGAGGTAATTTTCAAGAAATGTACGTACAAAAAATTGTTTATGTCACACATAACAGATAACAAGAAATTAAAGCATTAGCATGTTTTACAAGCCGAACAAAAAYAGACAAACGTGTCCGATTTTGTCAAACTTGTATAAATTTATCAAAAATCAAGTTTCTCAAACTTCGACTTKTGCATTTAGAATATTTTAGTCAAATATTAGTTCTGACTAATATAAAAATAGTGTGCCTCAGCCACCGGTTGTAATTTTTGTTTTTTTCTGTAATCGGACGGCCAAAAAAGATTTTTCTACGAAAAGTCAAAAAACACCTAAAGTCTGTTTTTTCTTCAAATGGAAATTACCAAGTCAACATTTTGGTGAAAAAATTGCTAGCATGGAGACAACATAACCATTTGTTTTTGTCCCTAGAAGTTTTATTAAAAAAATATGGTTATGTTTTCAAATTGAGATGTCAAAATTTTGACTCATCGCAAGTAAGTACAATGTTGTGGACAAAAATGAGGTTTTTGCTACAAAAACTTTAATAAAAAAGGATGTATATACAGAAAAAAGTTATTTAGCAAAAGATACAACATTAAGACTGTTTGGCATTTCCATTTAAAAAAAACAGACTTTAGGTAAACTGGAAATTATTGTCGTCCTTGAAATGGGTTTTATTTCTGTCAAGTTGGTGTTACTATTGGTGTACAAGCCCTGCAAGGAATTTCTTTTCTTAGCTCTGTGTCCATAAATAAAAGTTTTTTTTTTCAAAATAAATGTAATTAAATATTTATTGATTTTAATAGCGTACAAAGTGTGAAGAATTTATTTTTTAGAAAATAGTAGTCTTATTCCATGTTTACGAACCAATCAAAATCACACTTAAAATTAAAAATTTATAGTTTAAAAGGATTGGAAGATTGAAAGAAGTCTTTAGACAAAATGGAATGAGATTAAGTTCTGGTTTGACTAGTAATGAAGTGCATAGTTTAATTGTTTACAATTAATATGTATTTAATTACATATACATATTTACTTTGAAAAGTTTATCTTTTATTTATGGATTTTAAAACCTTTGTGTTATTGTTTACATATGGCTAATCGTAATCGTCACATTTGAAATATATTTTGTCAAAGTGAATAGAGAGCTCTGTGTATACTAAAATAAAAAATACATGAGATTTAAAAAACATGTTAATGACAAATGTTAAATTTGAATTTTTCTAAATACTTATGTATTTGACGCAAACCTGTGAAATAAAAAACTAGAAAAACTTCTAGGACATTTTTCGTAGGAGTAAGAAATAGGAGGTGAACCAATTGTTATGTTTTTTCTATGGGTAGATTGAAATTTTTTTAATCATTAAAATCACTAAAAATAAATACGTACACGCGTGGGTTTGATAACTTTCATAAAACTACTAGAATTTTTTTTTAATTTAGAGTTTTTATTAGATTTGGAAAGTCCAATCATTAATTTATTAATTTAAATAATAATAAAATGAGAAACTAAAAGTAAAACAAAAAATGAAATAGCGTAATTCAAATTTAAAACTACGATTTTCTGACCACTTTCAGTAAAAATTTTAAGCTTTTGTTTTGAAAACGAGCTAATTTGAATTTTGACTCAATTCAGCTTTAAAACAACGTTTTTCTGGCCTGTTTTAGCAAAATCTCTTAAATTATGTAAATTTTGGCTCAAAAACTAGCTAAATTACTCGGAATTTATACTAAAAAGGCGTAATTTAAACCCAAAACAATGATTTGGCAAAATCTTAATTTGAATCAATCGCTCTAAATTCTGATTGAAATAGCATAATTTAGTCCTAACTTTGAAATTTTTCATGTATTTTTTCTACAAAGTGGTTGTAAATGATTTTCATCTAGCCAACTGTGAATTTTCCATGTAAAATAAAAAATGCCGCTTTACGAAAATAGGGGTAGCTACTTGTTTTAACTCAACTCATTTTTCGTAGGTAAGAAATAGCAGGTGAAACAATTATGTTTTTTCTATGAGTTGATTGAAATTTTTCTAATCATTAAAATCACTAAAAATAAATACGTACACGCGTGGGTTTGATAACTTTCATAAAATTACTAGAAATTTTTTTCATTTTAACGTTTTTAAGAGATTTGGAAAGTCCAATCTATTTATTAATTTATTAATTTAAATAATAATAAAATAAGAAACTAAAAGTAAAACAAAAAATGTCAATAATTTAATAATCCTATTTATTAAGTGTTAAAAAATGCCAAAATACCATTAAGCTCAAAATCGAGCAAAATAATTCGGACTTAAATTTTGAACTAGATGCCTTCAAAAATGAATTAACTCGCTTAAAATTAGCTGAAATAGCGTAATTCAAATCTAAAACTATTTTTTTTTTTCTGGCCA